TTTTGACTTGTTTTGGACTTTCCTTGTCTGGTTCTTCTTGCTGTAGATTTCTCTCTGTGACTCTGACTGAATGCTCCATCTTGTCGTCCTGCAGCACAGAATACTATAAACACAATAATTACACAAACATCTGATATTTCTATGATCTTTTGCACGGTTCTGAACCAAAGTTAGAATTTAATAAAAACTGCATAAAGTGAATCCATCTCTGGCACCACGTTGGTTCTCTCAGAGCTCCGTCTTTGTCATTAATTCAGCTGCTTTTACAGGATTCAGAATAAAATATCGGATTATTTTTTGTCTGCTTCGCTGCTGATCGTGTTTCTGTGTGTTTGAATGATTCTCCTGTTCCTGGACTCAGTCTGATTATTTATGTATTTAATATGTGTTTCTGTGTTCCTCCATCTTTTCTCCATCCTTCATCCTCTATGCTCCCTTCCATCCCTCCCACCATCCAACCTCCATCCACTCTCCCTCCACTCTCCATCATCCTTCCTCCATTCTCCTCACCTCCATCCCTCCCTCCTCCATCCCTCTATCCATCCCTCCTCCATCCCTCCTTCCATCCCTCCACCTCCACCAGGCGTGTTGTTCAGCATCGAGGTCACGTCCACCTACTTTGCGGTGAGGAATTACTGGCGAGGGTACTTTGCCGCCACGTTCAGCGCCTTCATATTCAGGGTTCTGTCTGTTTGGAACAAGGATGCTGGTGAGACGCACATCCAACACTGAGACAGCTGAGGCGGCGTTTTATTAAAGCAGCTCAGGGATATTCGCCGCTTTAGATAAACCGCAAATGTTCCAAGTCATCACCTACAGTATAAAAGCATCCGGCTGCACCAAAGTGTAAAATCCTCACACATTAGTTTGCATTTAAATCAGCCCACAGTGTCTCCGTGTCACTTCCTTGTAGTTCACAGTCATATTTTTAAAAAATATTTTACACAGAAGGTATGATTCACTGAGAAAAGATGTCATGTTTTTATGAATTCACACATTTACTCCGACTGGAAATGAGAACGTACAGCGTACATAAACATCTTCCAGATATGTTCTTTTAGGTGATAGATACAGTTCAGATATAAGTCAGACTCCTCCTCCTTAAAGAAAACATACAAACATCTTCAACTTCCTACAGTTTATATTGAGCATCTCCACACACGTTGACCAGTTTTATGGAAAAAGTTACAGTTCAAATGGAAAAATAGCTCAAATCAGTGCCTTTTAGGCTCCACCGTATTCAAATATATATTCATCTAATCATCTCCCTAAAAGAATGCAGCTTTCAAAGTGTACAAATCTTTATTTATGGATCTCTGCACATCAAACCAAACGCTGCACACCATCGCAAACACAGTGAAGCACGGTGGTGGCAGC